TGCAGGCTGAATAGCCAGGACAGACGGTGGGCGGGGGGGGGGGAGGTGCAGACCCCACCAGCAGAGCCATCAATGGGGTGACGCAAACGGCATCTTAGTGCCATCACTTGTCTTCTCATTAATATTTGGGGTGGGGTTTAGTTAGGAAGGTCGCCCCCTTCGGGCAGCTCAGCTCAGGGGCTGACCCATTGCTGCTGTCGGGCTGCCCCATTCGAACCACTGGGATTTTCCATGTCACTCTTACGGACGCAGGGCGAGGGGCCATGGGGGTGAGCTCAGCTGGCAGCATCGGAACCTGCCCCGGCTGCATTCCTGTCCTGTGCTGGGTGCTCTGCACCCCGGCGAGCCCCATCGCTCTCTCTATCCCCCAGGGGCACTTCAAGCAGGTGAACAACAGCGCTGAGTATGACAGAGTCTCTCCCCGTTACCCGGATGCCGATCGTCACCTGACGTCCTTCTACTCCAAGAGCCAGAGTTTCCTGAAGATCCGCTCGCTGGGAGGGGTGCTGCCCTGCGACCAGGCCCAGCAGCTCCAGGTGGATTACGTCATTGCTAAGGAGGCCCTGGGGAAGGGGTCCAGGAGCCTGGATTTCATCTTCCTGGTGAGCCCGTCCTGAGAGACTAAAGCATATGCACGTGTGTGTGTGTGTGTGAGCAGGAGGTGCGGAGTCAGCACTGTGTCCCCACAGCAGAGCAGTGGGGAATCGAACGTTTCCTTTGAATTACCAGGGCTGGGCTAGATCAGGGCGTGGCTTTTCGCCTTTCCCCATTAGGGGCTCTGGTTCCAATCTGGCCCCAAAGCGGGGGCTGGCTGGCCGGGGGGGGCTGGGGAATGGGATACCTGCCTGAATCTTCTTCCTTGCACCCCCACCTCTGCTGGCTCAGTCCATGGGGAGGAGAGGCCTCACCCTGCCCTGACTCCAGCCTGCGTGGCCACCCCCATGTCAGGGTGTTTGTCAGCCCCCTGTACAGCATCAGCTTGTGACCAAGTGCGCCTGTGGCAGCCCTCACTGGAAATGCCAAGGTCAGGACAGGCTGCAAAAAGAAGAGCAGATTCTTCCAAAACTGGTGGTTCACACTGAAGTTAGACTCACCAACCAGTCGCAAACTGCTCCTGATTCCCACCCCCCCATGTTGGTTATCTAGAAGCTAAAAAAGAAATCATACAGCCCCCTCTACTGCATTCCAGTTCTCTGGCCTCCAATCAGCACCTAGGTCCAGGACAGTGAGAAGTCATTTAAAACCTCTGCTCACTATACAAAATGTTCTTCTGACTCCAAACAGTCAGCCACATCACCAGGCCAATATTAGTTTGGATTTTACCCAGAATACCACGCTGCCAACCAGTCCTTTAGTGTCTGAAAGGAAAGGTTTATTATAAGGAAAAAAGAAAGAACGAGAAGAGAGTTGTTAAATGGTAAAACAATCACATACAAACAGAGACGTCAAAGTCCATATATCAGGTTCTGAGCAGTATTGGTGAGTTTGCTGGCTTGAAAGTCCCTCTGGGACAGATCCACAACTTGGATGGGTTGTTCAGTCCTTTGTTCAGAGCTTTATTTGTAGAAAAGTTACTCCAGAGGTAAGAAGCAGGACTGGAGACAAAATGGAGACGATGCAGCTGCCCTTTATGGTCCTTTCTCATGTGGTTTACTTTGTCCCAAACACCAGCTGCACAGCACATGGCATGGAAAAGCCTTAGAGTTCTCTGTCCACCAGCCTACCCCTACATGCCTTGCTAACTCCTAAGATGTATCCCCTAGTTCCTTTCAATGGGCTCACTGTAGGGCAGATGACCCGTGATGGGCCATCGAACAGGCTCCGCAGTGCTGATGCCAATCTGTCTGGGGGTGTCACCCAGAACCACAGCCTGAGTTTTGAAATACAGATGTACCACACAGACCTAGAACACAATACAAAGGTGATACAAACATATAAACAAGATCCTCATACTTGGCAAATCGCACCATTTCCACAGACACCTTCCATGGCATATCTGTCAGATTCCCTGCAATTTTCTAATGTTGGTATCAACAATACCATAAAGTGTCTCCCAGACTCCACACAGCATCACACAGCTCAGTGACCCCCGCCTCCTCCTCCGCAGGTCGTGGCCAAGGGAGCCATCGCCAGGATCCTTCACAAGGGGCTGGACCTCAGGGAGGGGGCTGGTAAGTGTGAGGGGAGGGGTCTGTGCAGATAGGGGGCGCCCAGGGGGCTACTGGGGATTGAGCCCCCTGAGCAGGTGCTGGGTTGGGGGAGGGGGCTCTGCTGGCTGGGACTGACTTCCCCTGGGTGTTTCCCACCATCCCTAGGGCTGACAGGCTCCTTCTCCGTGGAGCTGCCCATCGGCGCTGACCTGGCGCCCGCTGCCACGGTGCTGGGTTACACGGTGCTGCCCGATGGCGAGATGGCTGCCGACCGTGCCCGGCTGCACACGGCCAAGTGCCTCCCGAACAAGGTGAGCCTGGGACTCGGGCGGAGGAGCCTCTGGGGTGGGGGAATCGCTCCCTGCCCCATAACAGGAGCCCTGAGCAGGGGCATCGCTGGATGCCCTCGGCCCCTCCCTTCCCCGGCCTTACAGCAGCACCAGGGTTGTTGCGTTAGTGCCAGCTCTGGTGAATTGATCACTAGCCATTTCGCCCCTGCTGCAGGCATTCCCGCGGTGATGGGAAGAGCTCCGGCCCCCGCACAATGGAGGAGCAAGTGCCTGCCCTCCCCCCTCCCATTCCGCTCTCCCTGGCCCCAGCAAGTACCTGCTCCCCCAAACCCTTCCTGCCTCCCCCAGCCCACCCTGCTTCCCCCGCGGGCTCAGCCTCTCACTCCGGGCCCAGCAGGTACCTGCTGCCTGTCCCTGAGTCCCTGGACGATGCTCTGGAACTGCTCCCTATGAAGCCAGGCAGGACTTTGGTGAAGTCTCCTCTCTGTGAGCAGACTGTCTCCAGGGCAAGAAGCTCACATGGCTTCACCTTCCTGGGTCTGACCTTGGAATATTCAGCATATGCCCCTCCGTGCGCTTCCCACAGTGAGTCCGCCCAGGCGGGGTCCTGGGGAAGCCAGAGGGTCCTGCATGCATCCCCCCTTCGCAGTCAGACGTGACTCTCAGCCAGCCAGTAAAACAGAGGTTTATTAGATGACAGGAACACGGTCTAAAACAGAGCTTGTAGGTACAGAGAACAGGACCCCTCAGCCAGGTCCATTTTGGGGGACAGTGAGCCACGTCTACACTCACTCCACGTCCCCAGCCAGCTCCAAACTGACTCCCCCTCCAGCCCCTCCTTCTCTGAACTTTGTCCCTTTCCTGGGCCAGGAGGTCACCTGATTCCTTTGTTCTCCAACACCTTTAGCTATCACCTTGCAGGGAGGAAGGGCCCCGGCCATTAGTTGTCAGGAGACAGAGTGTCGGCCATTTATGTACACTGGCCCTCCGCTCTGCAACAATTACACCCCCTTATCCCACCACCTAGAGACTTAAGAGATGCATAGGGGAAACTGTGGCACCCCTACAGTATTCAGAGGAAACATTAAGAACAGTCCCACTTTGTCACACTGCCTGCCTGCACTCTCCTGCCCCACCCCTCACCCTCCCTGTGCCCAGCTCCCCAGAGCTCCTGCTTCTGTCCCTCCCATCCCACTGACCAGGACCCGTCCCCTCCCCATCCCATGCTGGGCTCCCCGGCAGGTACCTGCTGCCCTGAGCCCTGCCCACTCCCCAGTCTCCGCAGCCACTTGCTCCCCCAACCCCCCAGAACTTCTGTCACCTCAACCCTACCCACTGCCCATCCTCCAACCTGCGCCTGCCCCTTTTCACCCTGGGAGATTCCTGGGGCGGGGGGCAGGATATGATGGTCTGATCCCCCTTCCCCTCCGGAGGCTTGCGGGGGTGGCCAGCTGGCCATATTTCTTTACAGGGCTTCTAAGGGGGCCGCTGCCCCTCCAGTCGACTGGGGCACAAGTGTCATGAGGGGAGGGGCCCCTCTCCTCCTCTGGGCCGGCAGCCGGCTCCCACTCTTAGCCAGTAGAAACTTCCCCCCATGAGGGCTGGGGCTCCCCTCTCCGGGCAGCCGGCAGGGGGACGTCATAGAATCATAGAATCATAGAATC